CTCTCTCTCTCTCTCTCTCTCTCTCTCTCTCTCTAGCCAACATGTTGGACACCATGCTGCTGAAGAACGGATGGAAGGGGGGATCGGAGCGGAGGGCAGAGGAGAGCAGCAGCACAGCCACAGTGTCGGCTCAGAACATGCTTCGGTGCCACTGCTACCACCACTGCCCAGAGGACTCTGTCAACAACACCTGCATGTACGGTGAAGCACACGCACATCTATGCTCACGCGCACACACACACACGGGTAGAGTACGGAAATAACTTTCTATATCAAGGCTATCAAAAGACAAATTTGTATCTACAGTAATGATCAGAGATTACCTGATGAGGCAAATGTTTACTTTAGCTACTTTCTTTAATTAGATCCCTGAAGCCCCTTGCGATGAAGGTTACTAACACTCTCACTAGCTGACCCTTCATATTTGTGTATATTCATGCGCTGTATGTAATGATGAAAAGACTCCCAGCCAATGTTTACTTATATGATGATGATGATGTATGTGCATTTTGGCAGGACTGATGGTTACTGCTTCACCATGGTGGAGGAGGAGGAGGAGGGGGGTGTGGCAGTACTCACTGCAGGTTGTTTGGGTCTTGCTGGTTTCGAGTTCCAGTGCAGAGTAAGTCAGATGTGTGTGTGTGTTCTGTATATGTGTGTGTGTGTATTTCTGCCTATACCTGTACTTGTTTGTGTACGTGTGTCCTTCTTCACGAGCTGCTGTTATGCCTTCATGAGCTTTCCTTCACTCACAGCTGCTCTTTATGAGAAGCTATTTGAATCAGATCTTTACACACAATGGGAAAAACATTTGGTATATTGTAGAGTTTTCTCATTAGGAGTAAGTGTGGCTGTAAATATTTATGTGTGTGTGTGTGTGTGTCTGTCTGTGATAGGACACGTGGAATGCTCGTTTGAGGAGATCCGTTAAGTGTTGCACAGATCAGGATTATTGCAACAGAGACTTGCATCCTACTATTCCTCCACTCATGACATCAGGTAAGACACACACTTGCTGGTTTTCTCACACTGTAATCCTGCCCCACTTGAGGGCCTTTTTAGAACGGGCTCATTCAGGCCACGCTGGGTAGTGATGGGTAGTGACAGTTTAAACTGTTACAAACCACAGTGTGGTGCTGGAGTGAAGTGGCACATGCTGCTCCGGGGGGGGGGGGGGGGGGGGGGGGGGGCAGGGAGGGAGAGAGAGAAAGAAAGGCAGGTGAAACGGAGCCTGTAGGCTCGGCTTGTTCTCTCACCCTCTAATGAAAAGGACAGCCTCTCCCCAGGGCCTGCTTGAGTTTCTTGCCTCGGGACGGATGTGAGATATCTGTCCATCTGTTACTCTGCAACACACCAACACACACACACACGCACACACACACATTCCTTCTCTCTCGTTCCCTTTCTGTCATACAAACTCACCATTACGCTTTCACACAGCCTCACACTTCGTTTTGACCTTCAAGCAAACAGCGACAAAAAACGAAATAGTCAACTTTTACAAGTTATTTATTATTATGTATTATATATATTATGTCCACTAGTCCTTCTTTTTGTGTGTGTGGTTCTGTGCACACCATGACGTGTTTGTGTGCCTGATTGGCAGGAGCACGGCAGAAAGGCTAGAGTCCCAGAGCTGCTTTAGGCCTCTGGGGGTTTCTGTAGCGCCGTCGGTGTGACAACTGATCTGTGGAGTTCAGGAAGGGGATGTGATCGATCACACGCTGTGAGGGGGGGGGGGGGGGGGGGTGCAGGGAAAGCTGAGAGGCAGCAAGGGGGAAAAGGAGCTTGTTCATGCTAATGAATATTAGAAAGATGTTGGAGCTGAAAAACAATTCAAACTAATTACTGTCACCACCTATACATCACCTCTAACTTGACAGACTTTCTATCTCACTTAGGGGCGGTAAGATGATAAAAAATGACATTGAATTATTATGAATATGTCTCCCAACTTGTTTAGATTACGTGGACAGCAGTATCCAGTACATGGCTCTCTTCATTTCAATCACAGTTTGCAGTATCATCCTTGGTCTCATCCTCATCTTCTGCTACTTCAGGTAAGATTGTAGAAAACATGCATGTGTCAGCACAGTCACCCTCCTGATGTGTGGACATACTATCCTAAGACTTATTTGTGACATAATATACGATGACCTGTCATTATGCTATGACTTTTTATGATTTCTTTAGGACGTACTAGATTCTGACTTTTTATGGCACTTTAATGACATATTATACTATGACTATTTCATGTCAATGTAAAGGAATTACATTTAGAATTGTTTATGAATTACATTGACTTTGGGACGGTTGAAATTATTTTTCAGGACGGTGGAGAAAAAAGTCAGTCCTTAGCCTTACTGTTAACACTATACAACAACTTCTTCAATGTAACTTTTTTTTCAACATTTTTATGAATTGATTTTTATGAGGTTTTTTTTGTGGTTAACTTGATGGTTTTTTTCAAGACTTTTTTTTTTCTTTAACATTTAATGACATGTCATATTATGACGTTTTTTTTTTTTTACAATTTAATGATACTATACTACAATTTTTTTCACATTTTAATGACATGTCATACAACGATTTTTTTCACATTTTAATGACGTACTATACTCTGGCTTTTTGGACATTTTAATGATGTTATACTACTACAACACTGGCATCTTGTAAACATTTCATCACCTTTTTATGGCAGATATAAGCGGCAGGAATCACGCCCACGCTACAGTATTGATCTGGAGCAGGAGGAGAGCTACATCCCCGCTGGGGAGTCCCTGAAGGACCTGATTGAGCATTCCCGCAGCATCGGGTCTGGGTCAGGGTCAGGACTCCCTCTACTGGTAAGAACAAACAAGTGCACATCTGGCTCAACATCACAAGCCCAGCCCTGATGGAACAGTAATACATTACTGCATTGTCTCATACTTTCACGTAGGGCTGGGTGATATGGATGGAATCAGAAACAAATTTACTTTGATCATAATTTGTCTAGAATAATTATAGTTGTACAACTATACTTAAGCACATTGAGGCAGAAGGCACACAAATCTGCCCTCATTTTAAGTGTCTTCCATGGGAGTGCAAATAATAAAAAAGGCAATAGGAAAGAGTGTAAACCACAAATGTGTTGTTGCAATGATGAAGTTCCAATAATCAATATGTCTATAACGAATGTTTTTAAAAAGCGTATCTAAAGTCAATAGGCATAATAAACCACACATTCTTTATTTTTTACCTGTTTCCAGGTGCAGCGCACAATCGCCAAACAGATTCAGATGGTTAAGCAGATTGGAAAAGGCCGATACGGAGAGGTCTGGATGGGCAAGTGGAGAGAGGAGAGAGTGGCTGTCAAAGTCTTCTTCACCACAGAAGAAGACAGCTGGTTCAGAGAGACTGAAATATATCAGACCTTCCTGATGAGACATGACAATATACTGGGTAAGGTGATATAAGTGCAGTGTGAAAAAAAATTAAATAAGGACTGACTTAATTATTGCATGTGTGTCTGTAAAGACCTTAAATTAAGGTAAACCCCCTCGGACTTCAATGTTAATATTGAGCAAAATGGATTGTGTTTTTTTATTCCTTCTTTCCAACCCCCAGGATTCATAGCAGCAGATATTAAAGGAACCGGCTCGTGGACTCAGCTCTACTTAATTACGGACTACCACGAGAATGGATCTTTATACGACTACCTCAAGTCCAACACCTTAGACGTGAAGGCTCTGTTGAAACTGGCCTACTCTTCCATATCAGGCCTCTGTCACCTGCACACTCAGATCCATGGCACACAGGGCAAACCAGCCATCGCACACAGAGACCTGAAGAGTAAAAACATCTTGGTAAAAAAGAACGGATTCTGCTGTATAGCAGACCTTGGACTGGCTGTCAAGTTTAACAGGTACCACATGCATCTTTGACGTTTGAACACTCATTTTGATCGAGTTTTGGAGTATTTTGGACAGTTCTTGAAATATCTTTATTCTGTTTCTTGTCCCTCTCTCAGTAACACCGACGAGGTGGATATACCTCCCAACCTACGGGTTGGTACGAAGCGCTATATGCCCCCTGAAGTGTTGGAAGAGACCCTGAACAAGACCCAGTCTTTTATAATGGCTGACATGTACAGTTTTGGCCTCATTGTTTGGGAGATGGCCCGACGTTGCATTTCTGGAGGTCAGGAAAAAAATCATATCGCACATTTATTTTATTACACATGAACTCACGCTTTTACATTTAAGGACAAAATACAAGAATATAGATACGAGCGTAAGAACATATCAGCATAATGAACATAAATAAAACACTCCATCTCTTTCTTCTTTCTTTTACTTGGATGTTTTCTAAATGATAATGCTGATTCCCACTTCTGTTTTTTCCTGAAGGCATTGTGGAGGAGTATCAGCTGCCCTATCATGACCTCGTGCCTACTGATCCGTCCTATGAGGAGATGAAAGAAGTTGTCTGTATTAAGAAACAAAGACCTTCATTTGCTAATCGCTGGACTAGTGATGAGGTATTTAAAAAGATTTTCTATACCCCTTTTTCGAACAATGCATATTTTTATTTTGACTATTTAAAGCGCAAGATAAAAACGACATATTGGTCTTAGAAATGCTCCGACATATACATCAATAATCCATTTGTTTTATTGTTATTTATATGTACACATGTCTTCAGTGTTTACGGCAGATGGGAAAACTGATGTCTGAGTGTTGGGGTCACAACCCGACCAGTCGCCTCACAGCCCTGAGGGTGAAGAAGACCCTGGCGAAGATGTTAGAGACCCAAGACATCAAACTGTGACAGAGAGTTAAGAGAGAAGCTCTCATCACCAGAGACTTGCCACTTACACTGGCCGATAAAAGAAAGGTGGGAAAAAAAGACTGAAAGATCGGACAAAGGAAACCAACAGCGAAGGATGAGTGACAGAGATAATGGTTGACAGGGAGCCAGAAAAATGAGGCAAAAGATTTATTATGTCGGGGGAGATCCTCTCCCACCCATTGTATGAGCCGCCTCTGCCTCAGGCCAAGTGTTCGGGTTGTGCTTTCTGTGAAAGCGGAGTGGTTGTCAGGTCCAAACTGCCCAGATGTGCAGCCAGACAGGGACTGTTGCAGGAGAGGAGCACTAGTATCCCTCTGCTTAGTTCTAAACAGAGGAAGCCTCTGCTCTACCCTTCTAAAGCCATATGTGCAGTCTTTTGTACTGTCACAGCTGTCTTCACATTTCTTTTTGGACTCGGTCACTGTCAACTCCGTCCATCAAAAGAAATGTCTAATTCACGATCAGTGACCTCATGATCAATGTTATTAATATTATTATTACAGAACAATGCAGAGTAAGACTAAAATAATGATAAAACATGTCTAGCAAAAACAGAGTTTTCTTTATCGTGTTCATATGCACATTTTATATTAATATTAAAAAAGGACTTCTGCATAAAACACTTGTCAGACTAATTTGTGAATTTTTGATTGTCCTTCAGACCTGAGGCCGAGGCTTTGCTCTCCCTCGTCGTCTCTTCTTTCCACTTGCATATAATTTAGCTGACATCTGTCGATTGCCTTGCTGGATGTTAAAATGTGTATTTGATGAATTATCTGTGTACAGAATATGTCCCGTCCACTCCACCACTACGGCATGTGCCTTATTTAATCTGTACATATGTGATCGATGAGTGTATGAGTGGATCTGGAGAACATTCCCAAATAAAATGACTATGCATCTCGATGTCCTGTCTATTTATGTCAGACATGCTATACAATGATATATATTTTATATTCATTACAGAGGTGTTATGAAAAGACATCTGGCCTGTTTTTGCGTAACAACTCGTACCAGCGTACTTTGATGTCAAAATGCGTGCAGGCTGGCCGGTCTGCTGCTGTTTTACAAAGCCAGCCCCGTTTCTTTACCCCAGGAGAACGAACTGAAGAACACAATTGGGTTTCATCATTAAATTCTTTTCTTTACTGCATTTGCACATAATTTCACTGAACACACGGAAGTCCAGAACCATCCGATACATGAACCGACCGATGAAACAAAAAGGTAAAAACAAAACGTCTGTAATAAAATACACTTATGTTCTTATATGCATAATATAAAAACAATAAAGGAAAATATTTAAATTGCAGTAATTACCATTTACAAAAGGCATTTTCTTTTAAAAGAAAGGAACTTTTACAACTTCAGTACCTAAAATAAATCAAACTCTATGCAGGTCAGGTGCAGTAGTACAAAAAGGCTTTGATATGGGGAGACTAAGGTGACAGTTTTACAGCAGGACAGAAAGGCGGGATAAGGCCTGATGAACATTAGGTAGCTACATTATCAAACGGCAGATTTAGTAGCTGCGGTGTAAAGAGGCGTCGCTTTTGTGATCCTCTGAGGACTCGGAGTGTCTGCCTGCAGTTCTTCGAGTAACAGGAACACTTATCTGCTCAGGCGGAGGCTCTGCGGTGTCCCCTACTGGCCACTGACTGGGACCTCCTGAAACAGAAAACACAGGTTCCTGTAACAGCAGAGTGACAACAGGCAGGCGCTAACAAGCCACTTTACATTTCTGGCCTTACACATGCAGGGTGATAACTGTTGGTGCTAAAGGCAAAAAAAAAAGAAGATTAAACTACTGACATTTTACAACTGCCTGCAGGCACATGCGTCTGACATCTTGTTTTAAAGGAATAGTTCGACATTTTGGAAATGCTTTCTTACTGAGAGTTCAATGAGAGGGTTGATACACTCTCATATCTGTCTGTTTAATATCAAGCTAGAGCCATGAGACAGTTAGCTTAGCATAAAACACTGAAAACAAGTCTCCTAGTTGTAGCTTTGTATTTAACAGACAGCTGTGAGAGCATAACTCTTGGCAAGAAAGCGACGAAGCACATTTTCCTAAATGTCGAACTATTCCTTTAAATATTCCAAGTAGAAAAAGCTCATTATGCATCAGAAATACTGATTTTGCCACAGTCACTTGAACACAATCTGATACATTTCCAGTTCATTAGCAGGCTATTAAAATGTGATAATCAGTATTAAACACCATTTTTCGAGGTATTACATTTGGTAGCTTGTTTTCAATATCTATATTTGTCCAAAAAGGTTGAATAGTTAAGTTTGTGTGAATTTGTTATCATCGTGTATGTGCTGGAGTCATCTGAAAAGCACAACTGTTGACATGACATCACCTCCCGCAGTTCAGTTCATATACTACCTTTTATCAAAGTTTAAAGATTATTGTTCAAATACTGTTTGTACAAGTACACGGAGTGAAATTTTTGACCTCTAATTCCTTTTAAGCAAGAAGACAATACAAACAATCGATATATTCGTTAGCCTAACAGAAACACTCACTTCAATTTGATTCATGTTGATACAACTCTTGAATAGTTTCTTTTATTAGTTGATCTTAAATGCTTTCAGAAAATGAACAATAGCATAACTGGTGTAGTCCTAATAAATCCAGACATTTAAAATGACCAGTTTAAAGCCAATGCTAATGTGGGTGGGAGTAAAGGACCCAGAAACCCTGCTTGTTTCATTGGTGCCCATACGGTCCCCATCCGTAGATGTGTACTTTTTAATGATTCAGCACAATTTTATAATTCATAGCACATTATTTCGTAGTGGGACGGACCCCAGTTTGAGAATCTCTGTTATCGGGAACTCTTTCTGATAAACCTTACTTTGGGTTAGTCACTCGATTCATTATCGTGTGCTTTGCTGCCACCACTGTGTATCTGAATTATGTTGCATTGAAACTATGCAACAAGGACAAACTGTGAATGTTACGTTGTGCTATGTTACAATCACTGCACAGTAAATGTAAGTTAAAGAGTGTCGCTGATTGGTCCGACTGGTTAGAACTTGTAGAGATGTCTTAAAATGTATTAAAAATGATTAAATTTAACTTCAGTCCATTTATTACTTAACTGTTTCAAACCCAATAAACTGGCAAATCTGAGTATCTCACATTAATATTTGGGTATTTACTTCATGCAATGCATAAAACCAAATCAACAGGGTCTCATGCACCAGATCGCTCTCAAAGCCTGCACCTCGACCACACTGACCTTCGTCTGGTCCTCCAGACGGGCCTGTCAGGCCAAAGAGGGTGCAGTAATTTGTCTATCATTATTTCACACAGAGGACGAGAAGGAGAAGAAGCGTGATTCACAGAGGGAGGAGTTACCACTACGGACAAGAACATCAGTTTGGCATTTAATAACTGGGGAAGCTTTTAGGTAAACTCACCTCTAAATTCCCCCTGGCTTTCTTCAACACTCCGTGGGTGAGATACACTAGATTGAGGAAAAATAATTCACATTAAATAATCACATATCACAGTTTATTGTCAATTTACAATTATATATATAAAAAAAAGAAAAGTAGCAAATCCTCACATTAGAGGAGCAGACAATAATTTAAGTTTTGCAGTTATTTGTAGTTGATAAAGGTGCCTCCTTGTAAAGAGGCATCTTCACTAGTTTACAGTAACTGCCTACGTAGACAAGATCATCTTACACTGATCGATGATGACTCTTTCCATTCCCTCCTTGAGCTGGTTGGTGGTCCGGAGGCGCTTAACGGCTCCACTCAGCATCCTCTCCTGCTGCGACAGCCTGCTCTTCAGTCTGGCGATCTCATTCTTCAGCAGCTCATCCTGATTTGGAGGATAAAAAGATATAAGACGTGGTTCCGTGGATACTTAAGTGGATTAGGCAGATACAGGGTATGTGTATCTGTGTACCTGCTGGTTGTTGAATACGTCCCCTGCCGTGTGACCAGCTGGCAAAGAGACTCTCCAAACCAGTTTGAGCATCCGACCAGCCTCTTCTAAAACGTGCTGCATGGTGTTCAAGCTGCCGGACAAACTCTTCAGATGCTGCTGTTCCATCACCTACGAAGATGGACACATAATGGCATTAACAATAATGACTTATGTATCATTTGTACAAGCTGTGGAATATAAGAGGTTTTTTTAAACAAGCGGTATTAAAACCTTTTGATTTCATTTGTTTTACACGATGCAAACTGCAAATAAAACATCTTGGTTATGATCTGTACCTTGTTGTCGGAGGCCTGCTGTTTGAGTGTGTGCAGACTGTCCTGCAGTTGTTTGTCCATGCTGCGCGACACTTTACGTCCTTCTGAGATCTGCTTGCGGAGGGCGTTGTAGTCCTCAATCAGACCCAAAATATGCCGCCCGTTGCGATTGGCCCATATCCGGTGGCCCGGCACCAGGCGAGAGGGAGCGCTAGAGCCGCTGTCACCAGAGCTGCTGCTGAATGACCCACCGTCCACCTCGGAGTGAGCACGGCGGCATTTCTCCTCTGAAAAGACAAAATAAAATACCGTCATCTAACACGAGGTAAACCCTGCAAATCAGGGCTTGTATTTACTGATAGAATTTAACATGATGCCAATCACGGATGAGGTTTTCTTACCAGGGAGGACACTGGTGTGTTCGTGGTGACTCTGAAATGAGTGACAGAGAGGATCGCAGCCTTCCCGACCTGGTGACTTGCCTCCTTCATCTAAGATGAACGTACAACCAAACTGATGTGACCTGGCAGATTCTTGTGTGTGCTTACATGCTTCTGTTGACCCGTCAGAGGTAATTAGCATGTGAGACGGCGCCTTGTGTTTACCTGGAGAGGACAGCAAGTAGTTGATGTTAATGGTTTCAGAGCGGTTGGGTCCTCTGAGCAGCTGCTCCTCCAGTCTCTGTCGCAGTGCCGTGTTGGTCTGGATGCTCCTCTCCAGCTGCAGCCTCAGGTGTCTGATCTCCAACAGCAGCTCTCCCAGGTCCACAGTGCCAGAGGACGGGACAGAGCCGAGCTGCCGGGTCGCCTCGCTGGATTCTGCTAAGAGGAGGAATGAAGGGGAGGGAAACCCATAAGTCTCTCGTTACAGAAAACCACCAGGAAACAGAAGCAAACTAGAACAGACTGTCATGTAGCATTCTCTTGCTTTAATTCCACCACATGTATTGATGCTACATATAGTCTATCTATTTATTATCTTTGCTTTCTGCACAAAAACATTAAAAACTTGCAGTACCGTTGTGTTTGTGAGCTTCGGTCTTGATCTTTTCATAAACTTGCAGCTCCACCCGCAGTGACTGCAGAAGATGCTGGGAGTCAGACAGCTGCTGCATCTGTAGTTTCACCTCACACTGCAACCTGCAAGCAAACACAACACAATGTTGTACAACACAATCACAAACCACAACCAGACAATTAAGTTGAATCAACATCTCTCTGAAACAGCTTCAACAAAAACTGAGCATCAAAATCCTCGTGATGGTGGTTTCTATTACTGGACAACTTTATTATTCAGTGTGGCTTTGTGGCACAAAGGCAGTAAAACTGCCTGTGCCAAAGCACACTGACTGTAATCCTGCGGGCTTAATAATAATAATAACTAGAAAATTCCTAAAGAAATTTTGACAGTGTGGCTTCTACTGCCCGAAGAAATCGCAATATATACACACGCCAATGTTACCGGTAGTGTCATTCAGGTTCAATTGAGATATCGCTTCTCTCTTTTCTGCATTTTAGATTCATACTCTTGGATTGAATCTTGTATTTGTGGGGCTTTTATTTTGAAAGGGTGGGACTGGGTGGGTGAGAGAGGGCATTATGAATATGTCTCCTCTCCCCCTCTCTCACCCACCCAGTCCCACCCTTTCAAAATAAAAGCCCCATAGAGTAACTGTATCTTAACATGAAGCTCAGAATGAGGTTCGTACAGAAATAATGGGAGCATTAGCTCCCATCATTTCCAAAGGCTTCTCAAACAAAGATGTATATGTCCAGTACAGAAATGACGGGAGCCATTTGTGGACTGTCCATCACGAATACAAGATTCAATCCGAGTATGAATCTAAAATGCAGAAAAGAGAAGAGCGATATCTCAATCAAACCTCAACGATACTACCAGTAACATCGCGTGTGTAGCTATATATTGCGACGTCTTCGGGCAGTAGAAGCCACACTGTCAAAATTTCTTGCGAAATTTTCTAGTTTGTCAATGTTAGTCAGGTGTACTTCATAAACAGGCAAGTGAGTGACAAATACAGGTGAAAAGTCATCCTAAAATCAACGTGTCAAACAAAAACAATGAGCCTTGTGAATATAGTGCAGAAATCTGCAAAAGCACACACACTAAAGAGTCGGGGGTAAAGAAAGGGAGAGGAGAAGAGATCTGACGGCAAACTAGACTCCGGGTTTCAGGTGTCAGCCTCACTCATCTGTGTCAGTAAGACCCAGGGCAGGAGGTCACATACCAGCATTATGGTATGTATGCATTCACGTGTTCAAGGATGAGCCGACTAATGATAGATCATGTTTCCCAGTTGTACTAGTAGTATGGAATAATGGTAACAGTAATGGCTCTTTAGAATGGTAACTAGTGGCCTTGTGTAGTTTCAGGTTGCATGAAGGAGAGAAGTATTGATAGTATGTGTGTGTACTGCGAGGAGACATTTAGAAGTGTGTGGTAGTGGGTGTGTACCTGTGTGTGTGTGTGTGTGTGTGTACCTGTGCACAGACTCCTGCAACTGGGAGTTTTCTTGGCTGCTGTGCTCCAGCCTCTCCTGCAGTTGGTTGTTTTCTTGCATTAGAGCTTCACACTCCCTCCTGCTCTGCTCCAGCTTAGCCGTCCGCCTGGCCAGAGTCTCCCGAAGCTTGTCGCGCTCCTTCTGCTTGTCTGGGGAAAATAAAAACAATTTAAAGTTAGTAAGAGTTAGTAAAGTTAAAGCTGGTTTTAAGCACAGAGTCAGTGATGCGTGTACGTAAGGCAAAACAGCACCAGTCAAGATGGAGTATCTGGAAAATGATCGTCTCTCTCTATTTATTGGTCGACTGACTGAAAAGATGTGTTCGTGATTATAGGTTGAAATTATGTTGTACAAAAGTGTGCTTTTTACCTTTAGACACGAGGCTGAGCTGGTCCTTCAGGACTTTGTTTTGTCCCCAGAGGAATCGCACCTCATTGGCCAGCTGACCCTGCTCCTCGTTACCATGGATGAAGATGTTGGTGGCTGCTGAACATGCGCACATACACTCTCATCAGTCAACAAATAAGGGCTTTGAATAAAGGGGAGAGTATTTTTCTACAAAATTTCACAACCAAATTATTGGCATACAGTACTCCATAAACCCTAAACATCACATTTACAGAGAGAGATGCTTTCAGGCGTGTACCTGGATCTTTCTCCACCTCTGCTAGTCTCTTCTCCAGCTGCTCCCTGAGTCGGTCGTTGGTGTTGATGCTCTCTTCCAGGCGCTGTCGCAACATGCGGATCTCCTGCAGATGTTCTGCCAGCAAGTCTGACAGACACACATGCACAAAGCATTCTGGTAAAATTCTCCAAACCCAAGCAAATATAAACCCGATGACATCACTATGCCACATGTTTACCTGAGTTCATAGTGCGAGGCTGTTCGGCAGCATTCTTCTGTGAGCCAATGTCTCCATCTCCTTTATGAGACAGAGCCCGAGGCCCTGATCTGTCTTGGTCGTGATCCTGTTCCTGATGGTGGGAGCTGGTCTGGGCCATAATTGAGCGGTGTAGGTCCAGTTCACTTCGCAGGGTGGCGTTGAGGTCCTCGCTGCCCCTCAGCTGATCCTGTAGTCGGCCGTTCTCCCTCTGCAGTCTGCTGGCAGCGTCCCTGTGACCGGACGCAGCGTCCTCTTGAGCTCCTCCTACGGGAGGGACATCCGTTCCTGTCCAATCAGAACGGTGTCGGTGGCCTAAACATGCACAGGTAGACAACAACAGATAAATGGATTAAAAATGAAAAGATATGTTCTTTTTTTTGTGGTCTAAAGGGTCTTTTTTTAACATAATTTTTGTCACTCATTATTAAACCCATAAATTAATACTAGTTCACAGGTTCAGTGTTGTAGAAGTAAGGGAAATGTGAGTTTGGGTCTACAAGCCCCTCTTGCAGGACCTCTCACATATCCACATGCTTCACTTGTCGCAGTCATGGCCTTCACTGTCTCTTTTCTCCAGGGAAACACAAGTTGAATATTGAACCGGATAGCTGGCTCTGAATAATGCAACTTTCAGTGGAGGTGGATTGAAACTGGACACCTGCTCTGCCCTTGTCCTGCGGGACGCCTCACTGCAATAGAATGGATCCGAGTGGAAAATAAGTGCCATTACAGGCAGTGTCTAGACTGGCCTGGCCCGTGGACAAGAACTAAGGTAATCTCAACGATAAAAAAAAAAAATGCATATTTGTGGTATAAGTAACAGAGTTAATCTATGTGTGGTCTAAAATAACCAAACAGTCTATACCTGGCTGGGCCCAGCGTCTGTGACAGTTAAGACTCTGTCTTGCCTTTTGCGCACAATCACAAAGAAATGATTTTATTAAGACAATATATACATATATTACATCTAGAAATCTGCAGCTTATGTGAGCATATCTTTGTGCTTACTGTCGGCTTGATTGCCACTTTGCGTGGTCGGGCTGCTGTGGCAGGAGGAGGAGGTCCTGTCTGAGTGGCACAGATCAGAGTGGGAGCTGTGTTGGCTGCTGGGGCCTTTGCCTCTGAACGGGCTCTGCAGACTCTGGATCAGACGGTTCTTCTCCTGCAGCTCTTTCGTCAACCTGGGAGGAGGAGGAGGAATATGTAGTTATGTTGGTCACTCTGTCTCCCAGAGGATGCAACAGCTGGATTTGATCATCACATCATCTCGCTGGGCGAGTGGGAGAGCAAAACAATGTAAAACAGGGAAGATAATTACACAGCACAAGGCACAGCACCCGGAAAAGAGACTTTGACTAATTAGACTTAAGGTGTTCCCAGAGGACTTCAGCAGAAACACACAGCTGGAAAATATTCACAGCAAATGTCATGCTGTCTGTCTGGATCAAACCCGCTCACAGGTCTAGCTCCTCCCTGGTGCACTCAGCCAGCGTGAGGTTCTGCTGGACGAGGAGGCCGACGTGCTGCTGCAGCAGCTCTCTCTCGCCCTCTAGCTCCAGACGCAGATGATCTATCTCCTGTTGGATTCTAGCCGGACTGTCAGGAGGATCTCTCATGCTCTCCTCACAGGACAGCAGGGACTGTGATCCCTGCTGAGGCTCCTCGAGACTTCCACATCAGTAATAATATAGATTAACATCGGTCACTACCAGCAACTTTCATTTCTAATCTGATGATACAAGGGTGCTGTTGAAAGGTTGACAACAAATCAAAATAGAAAAGCAATTTGTGAAACCACAATGCAATGATTTTACTATTGTTCTCCATCAAACATAAGGCAAAACTGCACTCTTCTGATTATTTGTTTTCTGTCAATGGTAGAAAATAAAATGGTAAAACTATTGATGTTTTAAGTAAAGCTTAAATTGCTTTCTGAATTATACACACACACATAAATGGATGAACATTGACATGTAGTAAATGTGTGTGTTCCCCTGTTCTGTCTCAGAGACCCCAGTGACCCAGTTAGGGGGCAGTATAACCTTAATGTTTTGGCTGTCAATGAGAAAATTAGGTCAACAGCAGGACACTATTCAAAGCCAACAACACACGCACCGCCTGGGGTCATACGGCAATTGGCTGGATGGGGGGGGGGGGGGTCTTTAAAAGGGTCATGAGACAAACAGCACAGATAACAACCCTCAAATCTCAAACAGTACCATGGACAATATGACCCAAAAAAAACACAGAACAGCCCAGGGGACAGACGTCAAACTGGTAAAATGAGTCTCATCAACTTTAACAACTGCTTAATCAGAATGACAAATGAACATGCTATATCTTATTTGTTTAATTCCTACAAAAACTGAAATAAACCTTTCACAGTTTCAAAGATTGTTATGTGCTGTTCTATCAGGGCAAGTATCCCAGTAACCTAACATTAACCGGACGATTGTAAATACTACAGATAATTGTTTTTCACCACAAATAAACATGTGACAAATTGAATAAGAGCAAATATCATTGACAACAAGCAAGTGCAGTGTGAGAGTTTGAGACGCACCTCCGAGACAGTTCCAGGGCCACCGCGTCCTCATTAACCAGACGAGACTCTCCTAACACAGAGGGAGAAGATGCTGTCAAGGACCTGTCTGTAAAAATCTGTTACAAATGGCTGCTCCTTTGTGGTCATCTCTCTCTGCTCTGCTGCTGCTGCTGACTCTTTGTTAAAGCACCGAGACATTTCTAAACAAGCACTGTTTTTTAGAACTTAGAACCTGCCTTTAACGTTAATAAATATTCAGATTAAGTATCAAGAAGCCTATTTTCATTCTATATTTACATGTGTGTTGGGTGGAGATTTGTGCATTTTGACACAGATGCATTTAAGATCGTCGCAGCCACTACCTTTGTCCAGCCGTCCTTCAAGCCTGTCCAGAATGCTCAGGCTCTTGTCCAGCTGCTCTTTGACCGCCTCCCCCATGTAGTAGTCAACTTCGCCAGCCTGCAGCAGCTCCTTGAAGGCCTTGTTCAGCTCGTCGAGCTGCCGTCGCTGCAGGGCTCCTAGCCTGCGGCTCTCCTTGATCTGCTGCCTCAGTTGCGACAGCTCCCTGGCCTGCGACTGCACCAAAGAGTCCAGTCTGTGGAGACGTCGGAATGGGGGGAAGCATGGGGTAAAAAAAACAACAACAATGTCAAGATTTGATTTTTCTAAATGACTAGTATAATATTGACTTTGCATTGAGAGAGACTGTTGACCTTGCAGGCGATGTGGAGCGGCTGCGGGTCTGCTGCAGCTGTTCGCTCATGCTTCTGTTCAGCGTCCTTTCTCTTTCCAGTTCCATATTCAGAGAGCTTGTCTTATCATTCATCGCCTGGTTCTCCCCCTCCTTTTTCTCCCTGAGCTGCCCACCTCTGTAGCTCCTATCTGGGCTACGGTCCTCCCGCTGTGTCCCTTCTTGATCCTTGACGGTCGTGGGATCAGAGGTGTTGGTGACTAGGTCACTGGAGAGAGAGTTCCTACGCAGAAGACTTTGCATTTGGAGGATGAGTTTGGTCTGGTTTTCCAGATGGAACTTCAGCTCTCTGACTTGTCCCTGAAGCTGCAGCGGGTCCTTAGAAACACCGTACTCGTCATAGACATGCAGGCTTTTCAGACTGACCTGAAAACGGACAAGAGAGCGTTAAAAGTTGACATCCTCACCAGCTAATGATGCAGTTAGTTAATTATGCGTTCCTTGGCCATGGAGGCAATACTTGGCTTCCAATGTAAGCAGTAAACTAGTTAGCTGGACATGCATTGTTCAATGTTTTTCTTACAATCTATTTGTTTTTGTTCTTGGAGAGGCGAAAAAAAGAGACACCAGCCTCCAACGTAAGCATCTCTCTTATTACAGTCATATACTGTTCAACATGTCGAGACATCCAATGCTTGACCGACTTTGTTTACCTTGGCTGAGCTGAGAGCTGGGGAACTAGGGTACGGGGTGCTGGAGGTTGAGTCCAGGTTCTCGGTAGAGGAGAAGGTGGTCTGCTCGTGATGGGAAGGCAGGCTAGAGGCGCTGCAACTAGGGTTCACACCAACCTCTAGATCTGGCAACACAATGTGCACAGAAATAATCACCGAGAGAACAGGAGAACATTACACGTTGTGCAAAACAAAAGGTGATCGTGCCATGTGAGGAAATAAATCATTTGAGATACAGCTGGACTGTGAAGTAAGACAAGAACTACAAGTGAAAGGTTAATGAGTGCTCGAAAGACATTCCTAAACTTCAGAGTGGAAACATGCAAGAATTCATCAATGCAACATATTGACAGACCATTCAGATTTGGGAACAGTGCAGAGAAATAACCAAGTTCAAACCAGTAGTAGAGAGTGCAGTTATTAGACCCAAACAGAAACATTTCTCCAGATAAGAGACAGTGTGTTAAAGTTGCCTTTGTTCACTTCCTCATGCAGACAAATAGAGAGAATCTATCCACATTTGAGATTAGTGTCCACTCAGCAGACAGACATGCATTGTCTGTCTAAAAGCCGTCTACCTGTGCTACTGCTCTCTTCCCTATCGTTCTCACTCTTGCCACTGGTTTCGTAACCCAGGTCCTGCAAATCCACCTGCACGCCTTTGTCATCCTGCTCCAGAGCTGGCATTGGAGGCAACATATGTCGGGTTAGGAAGAAATCATTTCACGTGTACAGTAAGTAGTCTCTCTCCTTCATGGTGTTCATGATCAATTTGGATTAACAAAATGGTTTAACTAAAACACATTCATGCTTTTACAGAATCACAAAGTTATTAGAGTTGCTCATAAACAATTCAAATGCTTGAAAGCAGAGAAGTAAACAGCTCAGCGTGCGCTTTTACCTTTCCGTGCAGTTTCTGGCGAGGTAAGCGCAGTGGCCAGTTTCTCCTCCAGGCTTTTACACGCTTTCCTCTTCTCCCTCAGTGCCTTATGGAGGGTCTCCAGTTCAACCTGGACACTTGGTAGTAAACCCTTGGCATCCTGCACTGTCCTGTGGACCTCGCTCTCCTCTCTGCGGCCCCTCTCTTCTTGTAGGGAAGCCTGGAGATCAGAGATCCTCTGATGGTGATCACTGAAGACCTTGTAGAGGCGGCAGAGGTTGCCGTGGAGCTCTTGGTGAACTTGTCCGTTTGTTCCAGATGACGCAGTGGACTGACTGCTGCTGGATTTGGTGGTTGACTGGGTGGGTTTTCCCAGCTCCTGCCTCTCTTGCAGGGCTCTCTGAAGTTTGTCTAAATTCATCTGAAACTCAGGACTGGTCTGTGAGGATCTACCAGAAGCCAAGGAGCTGGTATTTGTACAGTGTGCTGCCAGAGAGGCCACAGCAGACTCTGCTGCACCGAGGCAGTTCAGAGCTTTGATCATCTCCTGATTTAAATTGACATTATCGTAACCACCCTTTCCCCATTGATGTTCCTTAGATTCCTTGAGTAATTCTGCTGCTATCTGCCTCGAACATTCACCATCCTGGTTAATGTTGTAGCTATGTCGAGCAGCGGCATCTGCAGCCCTCAGTTTTTCCTGCAGCTCTGCATTAAGCCTATTCTGCTGCCACAGTGCCTCCTGCAAAGAGTCTGTGCGTCGTTGCAACTCCTGCATCGAGTCCTCTGTGTCTCCACAACCACCTCTCGGGCTCTGTCTATTTGAAGATGCGTTCACCTGCTGCACGGCTGTCTCTATCTTCAAACGTAAATCACTGATTCCTGGAATCCTTTCTTGGCTGTCAGTGGAGGAGAGTGCTTTCTCTGCCATGTTCAGAAGCTCTATAAGCTGGTTGTTGCACTCCTCCTTCTCCTGTAGGGCGTTTTGCAGCTCCATGCATCGGCTGTAAATGGCAGAATCGGAACCCACTAAGGCAGAACCTGTACATGGACTGGTGTGCGACCCAAATCGCCCCTGGCTGTCCAGACTGCAGGCAGTCAAGTAAGCGATGGTGGATTCTGCAGCCTGTAAGGCCTCCACGTACTGGCGATTGAGCCGGTCCTTTTCCTGGAGCTGAGCGTGGAGCTCTTCCCAATCAGCTAGCTGCTCACTTAGTTTGTTGATCAAGGTCTCTTTCTCCTGACACTCCTGGTGGAGAAGCTCCAGCTGAGTGAAGAGGGCAGAGTTGGCCTGGTTGTGATACAGCGTTGTTCCTGCTTCAGAGCCCTTGTCCGACTCTACTGGACTGCCGGTACGATGTGCATATGTGGGGGTGGAAGAAGGGGAAGTGCTGAGCTGGGGTGACGTGGTGGAGTCTTCATGCAGTTGCTGGTCTGACGTATATACACCGTCCAAATGAAGGTGCTGAAGTGCATCAGTTTTGAGATGATCAGAGCTCACAAGCTGCGTGCTGCCGCTAGCCTCCACCCTCAGCCTCACAGGGACTGGGAGGCGAGATTTGGCACCATCCTACAAAGGAAAGAAATGGAACAGATATTGAAGACACTGACAATTAGACTTGATGCAGGAAGCAATGTAGTGTTTCTTTACACCCCATACAAAACTTACCCCATGCCTTGTAACATGCTGCTTTGTACTCTTGCTGTGTGACTGGCCTTTAGTTTGTGGACTCTCCATCCCCTCTGTGTCAATCATCTCAGAGGTGCCAGGGGTCTCCCCATCTGTCACCTCCACAGAGGTCTTCTCTCCATTTTCCTTTGACAGATTGATGGCCGTAGGCTGACCGTGTGACTTGGCCTGCAGTGTTTCCAGACTCCTTTTCAATTCAGCCTGTCCGTCGCTGTTGTTCCCTGAGGCGTCTGTGCTCTCTTTCTCTTTACACTCAGTAGATTTCTGTTCTTTCAGGAGACCTCGCAGTTCCACATTTTCTGATCTAAGACTGAGCAATTCGTCTCTGCAAATGAGGAACATTTGATTAGTTTAGTGTTCAAGCAACTGATTCTGAGAGTGAAAATAAGGAGAAGTATCTGGAACACTGCTAAAGAAAAGACCCACCTAAGGTGCAGGACTGATGTGGCCCCACAATGAGTGAGCAGGGATTTAAGTGCCATGACGTCCGTGTTCCTCTGCCTAGAATCATTCTCTCCAGTGTCCAAGGTGTTGTTGCCAGACTGAGCATGCTCTCTACTCTGGCAAAGGCCACTGTCCATACTTATATCACTCAACAGCTTTCCAGACACCATCTAAAAAAGGATAGTTTAGATATATTGGTTGACGTTACGTAAAAAAGGGAATTCCCCACAGTTTTAACATTGCATTTATTTCATACCTGTCCTAGTTGGATGTCTGTCTGGCTCTCTTCATCCTGACCAGAGGGACGCGTCCTGTTGCTGTGAGCCACAGGCTGCATCTGCTGCGTCTTCTGAAGCTGCTAGAGTAATGGGATGGAGGCGAGTGTGACACACATGGCTCGGTAAAAAAAAACAAAAAAAACTTAATGTGGGAACAGAATTCATAAAAACACTGAAAAGCAACAGCAGAATGGTATGACGTGTCTAATGTGGCATGGCAAAGAGAGAGCATTTCATGGGACACAGAGATAAAACAAAAAGAAAAAAAGAAACAGGGACTGATTAGGAAAGGTGAAGGAGAAAAAGAGGATCTTCTACTAAAGACAAGAAACACACAGACATTAGTAACAGGCTAGACAGAGCAAAGGTTAAGATGTAGGTTCTCAGGTTAGAAAGGAGCTAATATAGGTGGTTGTTAGACAATGACTCAGACATGATTCATCCAGTATTTGTGGACATACTGTACAAACATCTGCTTCTAAATGACAGAAAGGTGCACTTTTAGAAATAAACTTTTGCGCCTTAGCTTCAAGTACAACTTCCTCCATTCGCAGCTCTCTTTTGCAGCCTCTAACCTGTTTCAAGGGGCTACTGCTGGCCACGTCTTTGTCTTCGTCGGCACGGTTCGACCTCTCCAATAGTGACAGCCGGTTCTGCAGCTCGTTGTTTACAGTCTGCAGTCTGCTGACACAATCCTGCAGCTCCAGCACCTAGGGCACAGACAGACTATTTTGTTTCCAATCTGCATGATTGTCTTCCCGTTTCATGTATTTTGGTGGCATGTCTTGCCAACTAGCTAAAATCTAGTGTTAAATTCATAAGAGGAACAATGCTTTTGTCAGAAAAATTGTATTTAGTTTGAAAAAGACCTCACCCTCTGCCTGAGCTCCTGTGCAGAAAGTAGAGACAAGCTGTCATCCGGCCCCTCTGCTACACAGATACTCATGTAGGAAGTCTGGTCTCCGATGAAACTCAAAGTGTCACCTGAAAAATATTTCAGACACATGAAAGACTCCCATCTACCAAAGCTCTGAAATAAGAGAGTAAGAGTATTTTTTTCTAATCTTACCACCATCATTAGCTCCACCAACCCCTCCTCCGCGGTTCTGAATGGCTCCTAAGCGAGCCTGCAGAGAGGCATTCCAGCGCTGTGCATCTTCAAGCTGATGTCTCATGCTCTGCAGTTCTTTAGGATCAATCAGGTCCATACCTTAACAGATACACAGAGGGTTACACACACATACATATAATCTGGCAAGAAAGTATATTGCTGCGTAGGTAAGTGCTCTACTGTCAGACGACTTTGTGTGAGCTTATGTGAAAATGTTCATATGCTATAAAAACACTGACAGCCTGTATGCACAGGTAGGAGGCACATATTTTACGTAAAATGGCATCCACCTTTGGAGAAAAATTAAAGACCAAAATGGAATTTGAAATTCTTACTTCACGGTATGTACATGTGCAAAATCTAACCTTTGATGATTGAAATAGTAATACTAAATTGAATGCAATTATATAGTAATACTAAACCAGCTAATCTCCTTGCTTGAGAAAAACTGTTGTATTTGATGCATCTTGGCATGCTTCCTCAAATCATATCAAATCCCCTAAACTGTAAGTTGAATAAGGTAAGCTAGTGGAGGAATTTAACAAAAAGCTTGTGTGAAGAGAATTTTAAGATCACAAAAAGAATACACATAAAAAATAGAGATAAATAATATAATCACATGTTTTTGTCTACATGTAGCATGTACGTACTGTGTATTATAATGAATATATAACAAAAACAAGAAATGTGGAGATTTTCTCAGTGGTAATCACTGCAGCTACATCTATCTTGTATTCAGTGTGAATATAAGCCATGAGCCTGTTACTTACAGCTGACCTATTTATACACCTGTCTCTCTTCAGACAGGGGCGCGGGGGGGGGGCATGCACTTGACATGCAGACACATGCATGTGGACAGTTGCTCAAGTAATTTTGGCTTAGACACAGTGACACGTTTAATTAGTCTAAGCTGTGTCGTGATCTCACTAACTGTGCTGAAATTACAACTATGTGATGTCATGAGACAATAAATGCAGGACTCTTTATTAGGATCTATTTCAGGGGAGCTACTCTGCAGTAGGATGACATGTGATTGTATAGCAGTAGAACAACCTTTAATACCATGCTTGAAGCTGTTATATAATGACATGCTTATGCAATGAAATCTAATGCATGTGACAGATGGTTGGATGGGTTTGGTTAATAAACAGAGGGGTGTTAGAGAGATGATGCAATCAGCAGACAACAATGCTTTAATGGGACAGTGAAAACAAGCAGACAGCAAGTTATAAGTGACAGACAGGATGATCGGCCAACAGCAAGTTATAAGTGACAGACAGGATGATCGGCCAACAGCAGCCTTTATTCACAGATTTATGAAAGGACAGACAAGCCGAGAAACAGTGTGAAGCGAGTACATTTAAAGAGTGATCGAGAAAACAGGTAGCAACTCTATTATGGACAAAACATGCAGATGAGGAGGTGATGATGTAAAGAACAGTGAACATAAAGAAGAGGAGTGGAAGGACCAGGAGTTCATGCTGAACACAGTGACAGATAAAGAAGTGGGGATGTAAATCTGTCAGCAGGAGATATTATTAGAGTGAACACAGTGGACAAAGAAGACAGGTGTATTTAGGGCTGGGCGATAATTCAACATGATAATTGATCATCTTACAATGGAATTATATGGTGATGAAATCATATATTGAGGTATTGTAATACACAATTACGCGGTCTTAATTAATAAAAACAAGCACATACTAACTCAAATTTCTCAGTATTATTGCTTTATCATGTTATTTCACATAGACTATTTATTGACTTACCAGGAAACATGCTATATCATGATATATATGATTATCGGGCTATGGAATAACCTTTAAGGGGATAAAAGACTTTGGCCATATCACCCAGCCCTCGGTGTGTTTTTGTGTTTCCCCTAGGACCAATAGATGTATGCTTTTCCAAAAACTTAAATGACAAACATGCTCTTTCCGTTTATTTTTCCTTTCATGTTTCCTTATATTTAGTTACCCTCGTCATTTGTCACCCAATGTGTTTGCACCGCACCTTCTCTGAGTTTGGCTCTGTGCATCTCTCTCTCCAAGTCGTCCCTTAGCGCCTCATTAGTTTTGATGCCGTCCTCCAGCTGCTGCCTGAGGAGCTGCACTGCTGTCAGCTCCAGCTGCAGAGCATGGAGACGCTGGGCGCTGCAAACAGAATAAGCTACTCAGAATAATCTTCTCATTTTCACTAATTGCAACGGTTTCTTTGCTACAGCGACCATTAGCCCTACCTGTCCTGCTCCCTTACAGTCCGGACCAGGCTGGAGTAGAGCTGCTGTTCGGCTCTCAGTGCTTTGTTCAGAGCATCGTGTTCCTGTTGCAAGGCTACAAGGTTGGGCAACGCCTTGAGGGAGACAGACAATGAAAGGGCAATGGTCTTAATGTCAGAGCATTGTGTGTAAAACATGTTTTCTTGTATTGGTAATGCATTTAGTTTACTTCTTGCTGGCTATCTCCGCCGATTATGGTTGTCTCTCTCTGAGGGAGGCCTGGGAGTGATCTCTCCATGCCAGAGCCAACGACCTGGTCCTGGGTATGATCGGCCCGACTGTCCCCTCTCTGACCGAGGCGCTGGTGCAGAACCTGCTCACATAAACATAACATGAGAATCGCTAGACGAGAGGCTGCTGTGTTCATTGTATTCAGAAGAAAAGCTGCTGTGTGTTGCATTGAGTGAATCGGGGAGCCCTTACATCGATGATCTCATCTTTGGTCTTCAGAGTGGCAGTCAGAGACTCAATATTAGCAGCCTGACCTTCATTGCGACCCTCCAGTTCCGATAGCAATGACTGTAGCTCTCCCAAAGAAATCTGGATACAGAGAAAGTAAGGTGAAGGATTGCACAAAAAGACACTTTTTTGCAAGCGTCCTGGTTATGGACAAAGTAGAATGTTTATAACCAACTGACCTTCAGTTCATTCTCTCTCTTCAGTGCTTTATTCAGGGCCTCGGTTTTCTGTGCTAGCTCCTTTTTCAAGACGACAACTGTCTTCTTGGAGGGCAGAATATTCTCCACTTTATCCTCACTGCTCTTCCGGGACAGCTCAGCTTCAGTGCAGACAAAATAGAATCAATTGTGGGATCGACATGTAATGTCCAGTGAGAGGGTGTAAAACTGTAAAGGCCTCACCTTCCTTCTCGTCTATTTTCTCCTGCATGATTTGGATAGTTTGTCTGAGCTCCAAGACGTGATCGGGCTCCTCTTTCTGCCTCATCTCTGCCAGAAACTGGTCCCTCTCCTGACCATGCTGCAGAAGCTTCTGCACATTTACAAAGACAACAAGTTAGCATGCTCGAACATGTCCAACTGTTACCTTAAACGTTGACAAAAAAAAGGCCACCAAGTTATCTGAAGACAGACAGGAGGAAATGGGTTATTCTCCTTGGGAGTTTCCTCTCCTTGTTAGGCCTCTGTCAAGCACATTTTACAGCTGAGTGACTGCGTTGTATCCCAGAGGAACTTACATTGATGATGCTTTCTTTCTCGGCAAGCAGGGCTCGGAGCTCTGCCGTCTCTAAATAACCCTCCTGGGCTGTCGTGGAGTTTTGCTTCTCAGCAGCGGCAAGCTGCTGCTGCCTGTCAGACAGCTGCTTCTTCAGTTGCTGAATCTCTTGAGTGCGCTCAGACAGCATGCGGTTGTAGTGCTCGGCAGACTCCTGGAGAGATGAAAGAAGGAACCGATGAAGTTAACGAGTTATGTTTGACCACATATGCTCATACGAGTGGTTTCTAACATGTATTTTTACGTCATCTGAATTTATTGCACAAATCAAACTTTAGTTGCTTCTAATAATGCCGACCCTGCATGCATGTTGTAATTCATTTCAGTTTAATTTCCCCGTGGTAATCCCTGAAACGTGAACATGTTTTCATAATTAAATGTTGACCTTGATCAGCTGGTCCTTGCTGCTGATTGTAGCCAGCAGTCCTTCCACAGCGCTCTCATTGTCAGCAACCAGCCGTTCTCTGGCCTTCACAGTCTCAGCCAGCATAGCCTCGGTGACCTTTAACCTCTGGCCCATCTGTTCAGCCAGGTCACGGGTGCGAGTCTGCGACTGGCTCAGCATTGATTCGGACATTTCCTACAAACAAAAGGTTGACAGATTTAGAAACAAAACTACATCAGAAGTATCTAAGGAAAGGTGTTTGTATATGTAAAATGCATGGGTCAGAATGGTGAAAAACACAATGGACATGGCCAACCTCCATATCCTTCGTCTTGCCCTCCAGGGAGAGCTGTAGCTGGCTAATGATGGAGTCCTTCTCCCTCAGTGATCTGTTCAAGTTATCTTCTACGTCTTGCTTAGCTCTCTGTAGGTTCTTCAGTGTGTTTGCAAGATGCTGCAGCTCCACATCCTTCTCCTTGATCAGACTGTCAAAGCTCTGGAAGGAGAGGAATGAGCAGAGAGACACCTCGGATTCAAGTCCAACCTTCCAGAACAATTTCATTACCGATTACTGGAAAAAGCAAATTTCTGGCCTATATTTTTCCTAATCAAATACGATCATGCCTTCTTACATTGACGGTTTCCTCGTTGTGAGAGAGCAAGTTATTGAGCCTTTCCAGGTCTCTCTCCTTCTCTCTAAGAGACAGCTGCAGCTGGTGAATCTCATTGTCTTTCTCCTCAATGGCAGCAAACTTCTCATCCAGCGCTTGCTGTGAGAGAGCAAACAGAATAATGTCGGAACCAAGTTATAGTCGCTGTGGCTGAGAAGATAACACAGAAGGAATGCCCACCTCCAGAGCGTTCTCCTTTTCTTTCAGCCTGTGCCGCAGCGTGGAAAGCACATTGTCGTTTCCTCCTGGACTTTTGCTTTGCTCAAAGTCTCTGACCATGTTTATGTACTCCTGATGAACACAGACAAAACAACAATGTCAAAGCAACTAACTGCATGTATTCAATGGAAAAAAATATATATCTATGCATATATGCAGAGCAGCGGCCTTGAGTTAGCCAGTGGGGCACGCTCACATTCACTGAAACGCATGCGTGGTCGACCCATGCATGTAAACAAAGCACAGGTAGACATTACTCCACTATATCTGAATGAATCCGTGTGTATACGTTCAATGTCTTTGTGTCACCTGTAGCTGCTGCTCTTTATCAGCCAGAGTGGATGTGAGCCGCTGGATGGTGACCTCGTGGGTCTGCAGTTTCCGTTTGGTCTGATCCAGCAGCTCCTGGTACTGCTGCTCTAGAGCACTCTCCCTGTCTCCGATCTCACCGCTCAGCTTTTTGAGCTGATTGTTAAGATCCTGGGTGACAGAAAACAGAAAAGAGGATTTAAAATGCCCGATGGCTTTGTTCTAGAGACAATAACACAAGTGTTGTTTGAAAACATTTACAAGACAATCACTGTCTTACATTCAGGGCCTTGTCTCCTTTCTTCTTCTGCTGTTGCAGGTCCTCTAGTTCGACCTCTAGCTGGTCCTTCGCCTGCTGCAAGTCAGCCAGCTCTTGCTCCTTCCTGTCCAGGCCCCGCTGTAGCTTTTGGGCTTCAAGCCCCTTGGCATGATGTTCCCCCTGGAGTTGGGCAAACTCTGTTTGCTTTGCCATTAATAGATTTTGGTGCTCCTCTACTCCCTGAGGGATATATGCATAAAATGTCTATCTTTACAGAGGCAGCAATGTGTATTTGTCAATGAGATGGGGATTAAAAATACTTTGCTTTCCTGCTTAACATTTTTAATTACTTTTACTAAGACTACTTCTTTAGTATAACATGCACACACAGAACAAGGAGCCATTAACATTATCATATAAAGTTAAGGGGTTGGCTCGCTATAGAAAGTGCAGGACTTGCCTGGTATTTCTGCAGTTGGGCCTTATGTGCTGCCTCTCTAGCCTTGGCCAAAGCGTCATCCCTGTCCTCAATCTCACGACACAGCTCTGCAATCTGTGCAACCAGGAAAAAGACAGACAGGTGCTACAGCATTGTATAGTACAGAATAGTGAGAGCACAGACAGTTTAAGTCTTGATAAGTGTCTTTTTATGACACCCATGATAATATGAATTGTGTTAGTAACAGTATAACCCTTACCTGCTTTTCCTTTTCTTTGAAGACCTGAGTAAGCCCTTGGATAGTTTTGTCTCGCTTTAGAGCATTTTTCTTCTCAGAGTTGAGTTCATTCTCCTTTTCCTCCAACTTCCCTGACAGGGTCTGTTTACACAAAGAAGTGATGTTACACAAAGGAACCTCTCAATCTAATTAAAAAAATAGTCTAAAGAGCTAAAAGTCCTCTCCACGCACCTTGTTTTGATTCTGGGTTTCCTCCAGTGTTTTAGTTAGGTTTTCATTGGTGCTTTTGATCTGGGTGAGCTCTTCAGTCAGCTGCTTATTGCAGGTCTCCACTCGCCTGACCTCACTCTGCAAATCCAGAAAACGAAAGAGAAAACGTATCAACAAAAGCAATATTAAGCAGCAAAGCCGCTGTCTGTCCCAGATCATTGCCAGTACAATAACATTCTGCCCAGCTAGGATTACTGAAATGAACTACCTTCACCACTCTGACATGGTTGTATTCATCATCAAATTCCTCTGTAAGATCATGCAGAGACTTCCATTTTGCCTCTCTGTATCTGTGCTTGGCTCGGGGGTTGAGAGGGCCGGTGCTTAACCTCTTCAGGACAGGGATGTGGCTCCCTGCGGGGGCAGAGACTTGTTGCTTGGAGATGCAGCGCAGGAGCTGGATCAGGTCAGAGATCACAGAGGGCTTACTTGAGGAACTTCGGAGCAGCGCTCTGGCCTGAGCCTTTCCTTCTAGGTCATTAATGGCACCATGTCTTGCAACAAACACCTTGGGCTCTCTGAGTTTTAGTTTGGGTGGAGGGCCTAGAAGGGTGTCGGAGGACAAGTCTCTATTGAGGGACTGCAGGGATGTGGAGCGACCTTTGATTCCAGGTCTAGGCAGAGTGCCCTTACGTTGGACCAGGTCAAGGTACATGCTCTGCGAACTGTGGCGTGTTCCTCGGAGACCGAAGCTCTTCATAGAGCCATCGAGCCCTGCCGCTGATCCCAGCCTGCTGCCCCGGAGGCTTGGCCGCCCTGGAAATGCCCCTTTACTAACAATTCGATCCAGACTCACACACCTTCTCATGCGATTCTCCACGAGACCACTTCCACTCTCCCTGAACGGCTGTCTTTCAGAGGCTAGCTGACACACAGCCTCATCATCAGGACTGCCCACCTTAGAGGACCTGAGCGGAGTCTTGCAACTGGTGCTCTCCACGCAGCTCTTGTACAGGCGTGGGTTGTTTTTGTTGTAGATGTGGATGATGCACTGGATCAGGTGGTCCTTCTCCGCCTGCATCTTCTGCATCTGACTGTTGTGTCTATCCTGCAGCTGGCCGATGTTAACGTCACAGTGCACCACCTTCTCCAGCTGGAACACACACTTCCCACAGATGAACTCTCCTTGACCATCGCGGGTCACCTCCCAGCCGAGCACATGGGACAAGATGACTTGTAGCTTCCTTTGTGCTGTTGAGCTGAAGATCCAGCGGCACTGGCTTCCCACCAGACAAACACCACATATACGACACGGGTCCCGCATGGCCCCTCAGATCTTTTAGATTCCAGATTCAATGACGTAGAACGAGTCCAGAAGGCCTCTCACCGGCGCACAAACTGTCCAGTGACTTAACCGTCTTCAGCCTGCCAACCATGGAATAGCCATCTATCATTTTCTCTCACTCCATCAGCAAGAGAAGCACAGAGTAGAATGACTGAGTGCAGAGCAGTGTAAGCCCTAAGCCCTTCGATAATCCCTGCTCCCGCCTCTATTCCACTCTCCCCCACACATTCAATCAGATCAAATCCTCCAGGACTGCTGCACTGATCTGTGTCACGGCCGGTTTCAGACCATCTCTAGAAAACCTCCTCTTAGATACCCGATCAGGTCTGAAGATCGGCCCCATACAGGTGCTTCTCCAGGGGACTTGTGAATATGGAAGCAGCCAATTACTCCTATAGACTCTTGCTCACTGCTTGACGCTACAGCTAAAAATCCACTTTAAGATTAGAGGAGGTGTTTTCTGGCAATCACATTCCATTACACCTCTATCCTGGAGAGGCCACTCAAAGACGTGTCATGCCACAAAAACATCCCTGGTAGACACATTGTCCCCAATCTTTCTGCTATACATGACGCAGCACATTAGTTTTACCAAGATCTGAAAAACACTGACATGTTGCGCCATTTTCCCTCTTAAATAAAGAAGGACATAAATAACTCTCAGACAAACTCCCCAGACAGCATGGTAATCCAGTCTTAACACCGTTGCCTGAGTCCAGACGAGGAGCCATGGAGCCTGTCCAACTAACGGTTTTCTGTCAGCCCAATCAACAGGGTTCACATTTGATGTTCAGGATATGCATCATGATATTTAGTCACCAAACCCACAGAATATAAAAACATTTAGCTTTTTATAGAGGATATAGATAAGAGAATTATTCACGTGAAAATCCTCTAATAAAGATTTACTGTCATTTAAAGCATCATGGGAAATTAAGAGATTATGCCATCGGTTACAAACATCAATGTAATGTTTGGCAAAAGAAGTGATGACCAAAGAGCACCAGTAGTAACTACTACACAAACTCCTTCCTTCACCAATACGTTATAGTGATGCTTCCTGTGAAACCAACATTAGACAACTCATTAAAGCCTCAAGACTACAACAACAAACCAGAATACTCCTCTTTACTGAAGCAGGGTACACAAATAAAACCACACCAGGAGGCACACAGAGGGAAAAAAAAAGCAAGGCATAAAACACGCCAAAGTACATTTCCTGTAGTTCAACAGAAGAACACAGACAATCCTCTGAAGTTGACAGCGCCTTAACATAGAGAACATAGCCTGTTGTAATCTGTTGGTCTGAGAAGTGCTTGAGTTTGAATGGCTTGTCACATTTAAATAAGTTAGCTTTGGTTTGACGCAAAGCTATGACTGGAAACGGTGGGCAAGACAGAATCAACAACAAACAATCTCAAAAACATGGATAGGTGGAAAGAATCCAAAACACCAACCTGATCGTCCGGTGTTTTGTCCTTCTCTCTATGGAGCTCGTCCCTCAGTGCCTGGGAAACAGACAGTAAAGGGTCATTCAAACACCTTTTAATATTGCAAGTAGTGCTGAAAGTAAGTTTCAGTTATTTAGTAATGCGCAATAGTGTCAATACATACGGTATGTACTCTCAAAAAATGACAACAAATGACTAAAAACATTTTATAACTCCTTTGTAGCTCCACAATTACATATTTTTAGCAACATATGAAAGTTTTACCTCAAGTTCCTGATCTTTCTTGGCAATGAGATCAGATAGTTGTTTAACACAGTCCGCTGATGCTGCATCTGTCTCTTGATCTGCATTTTTCCTCTGATGGATCAAAGCTTCTTGGTTCTTTAATGTGATCTTGAGCTGCTCAATGATACTGGTGAGGCAAAAAAACAACAACAACATTGGAGACATTTAGACGCTAATACAGAAAGAAAACATATTCATGTATCTGCTTATCTAATGTGTCCCTACTTGTCCTTCTCCTGCAGGGCCTGCTGCAGGTCTCGGACTGGGCTGGGGACAGGGACGGGGTTAAAGGTGCTCGGAGGACCCAGGGCTTGGAGCTTCTTTTCCATGTTAATATTCTTAAGCTTCTCCTGCTCAGCGATGGCTGCCATCTTGTCAACCTCTTCCTCTGCTGTTCGCAGAGACTGAAATTGAAGCAGAAAAACCAAAGTGAGACAATAAACCCAAACTACCTAGGGGGATAAAATAGAAAAGGACTGATCTCAGGGAGTAAAGGGAAGTAGTAAATAGGGGAATAGGTTAGACTCACCTGTTCTACGTCAGCTATTCTCTTGTTGAAGGCATCTCGAAGTGCATCCATCTCTCTGTGAGCTTGCTCTCTCACGCGCTGAGGTTCTCCTGCTTCTCGACCAGCCAGACTCTCCAACGCTTTGCTGAAGAAGATGATTAGGTTAAAGCATATATACATTTTCACCACTGGGCTTCCAAGACATCTTCCTGCCAACTGAGATCTTGTTTTTGTCTGAATTCTTACAATGACACCAAACATATGAATTTAGCTGATACTGAACTTCACAACAGTGGGACTATAAAGGGAACGATACTCACGATGCCGACACAAGTAGCTCCTGTTTCTCTGCCAGGTCTCGCTTCATAGACTCCAGCTCCACCTTCAGCTCAATGTTCTATAAACAGACAACATTCAGCCCGTTATAGGACAAATAGCACATCTGGAGAAAATCAAATATCACAAAATGTTTGACTAAATACCTTAATATCAATATTTTGGTGATATTGTGGGTTGAATATTGGTGCTTTCACAAAATATTTACACAATGAAATTTTTTAACAGATAATTATCAGTAATGTGGATATGATGACTAACAGATCAAACCAGGACAAGACAACACTTATGCCATCTTACAATATCCAAAATCTAAGACGATATCTAGTCTCATATCAAGATATCAATATAATATTGATATACTGGCCCATCGGGAAAACACTAGCACAAACAGTGGCCAAATATTCAAGAGACTCCTAGAAATCATAATGACGGTTGCATTGTTAATATCACCAAATTAATAATCTCAAGGTTTATCTTGACCTGGAGTGTGTCCAAAAGGATAACATTCTTACATGACACATCACCCCTCAAACAAAAAGAAACAGAAGAAGAAGATAAGAAACACCAGCAGAAGATTCCATTGTGCTTACATCTCCCTCATAAAAATGACACAAAACAATGAAAAGGCCAGACAGCTGTTCTAAGATCATAAATGTGGGATTTTGGTTGAACCAAATCCAGCTGTTGTTGTGGCTGAAGTTGTGATCTCAGTTAGTAGGAAACACTGAGTCACACTAAACATTAAGACACTTAAATGCACGACAAAGACTAAAGAGTTAAATACACATCTTTGCATAAGAAAGTAAATACAACACCGTTTTGAAAATGTCCTCAGTGGAGTCGTCACATTTCTGCTGCATGCGCTCCTCCATGAAGTAGATGCGCAGCTTCAGGTTAAAGTTCTCTTTCTTCAGAGCTGTGATTTGCTGCAGATAATTAATTTAAAAAAAATAACATTTTATTGAAAAAGTTTCATCAAAATAGTTTAGTCTCTGACTCAAAATTAAATTCACGCATTTACTTTATTCAATGACGAGAAAATAAAGTAGGAAAGATTATTTCCTGGGACATGTTTACATAGCAGAAAGGGATCCTGTGTATGGTTATTGTTAAAATGAAGGGAGGCCTTCATACGTGTGTGTGTGTGTGTGTGTGTGTGTGTGTGTGTGTGAAGTTGACTGTGCATCATTGTGCTGCAGGCTCAGAACAGCATACATCTGGGAATGGGGGTTGGGTAGACAGTCAAAGGGAGGCGGTAGAAGTCTGAACTCGTCTGCAAAACTCTGATCATGAAGCGAGCCAAGCAGCACAAGCCAAAGAAATCTGAGCATGCATTCCACTCAAATGCTGAAATATAGGCTTCACCTCAATCCTACTCACACACACTTCATCACCGAATCTCCATAAATGGTCAGTGGGGCTTAGTTTTAGTCAAGACTGAGGATCAGGTTCAATAAATCACAATACCCCGTTTGTTGTGGTGGTGTAAAGCTGAGTGCATAACCTTAGACTGACATGCTTTGTTTTAATGTAGTTATTAGAATTAATAGCAGTAATAAACCAATTAAACATCATGCCACTTGATGTAAATAACTCACATTCTCATAGTCCTTCATGGTGAGAGCTTTGATCGGGGACATCTTGTCAGGGAAGGATAGAGCTGTGAAACGACAAATTGATACACGTTCACTTAATCGACAACACACACACACAACATTGTGTTCTCTACAGTGCAGAGATTCTTCACTGCTTACAAGAATAACTCAATCTCCCTGTTTTCAGGAATGTGTTTATTTTAGAGAGATAAAGAGAAAGCAGAAAGGCGTCGGAGGTGAGACAGCTTCTGGGTTATTTATATTAAATGTTTTTTGAAATAAAGTTTAATTTTCATATCTCGACCCCAGACTCTAGGTAGTGTCAGTACAACTCAGTTAGCTATTGAGTTAGAAACACATTTCAGAGACGCAACACGAAAGCCACAGCTGCTGACCTATATGTAGAAATCATTTGTTTACTGGCTTGTATGTATTGTTGAGTATATTGTTGTCACACTACAAGAGCAGGACAATGAATTAGAAACAGGATTAGCTAATTAACATCATACAGCTAATCCCTCATCACAGCTTTGGGGACACAACCGTGGGAGGTCACAGCAACGATTCAACAGCAGTATTAATTAATACACAAGGGAGACACAACTTGAGCAATGAAAAAAACAAAGAGAGAGAACAAAAGGAAGCCTTACTGTACCTGTCATGCTGTCTGGGGAATATTCCCCAGCATCTATGGAGTCTGGCAGTCTGCAGCTGTGGACAAAATAATTTTGTTAGCGATGCAGCCTAGTCACCACAAATATTTGGGAAAAGGAATCAGAATCACAGCGACCAAAGCAAGCTCTCTATCGGCGCACAGTGCAAACACATACTCTGAATAGGATGGTTTTCAAACATAAATGCGCCGTGTTTATGCATTACTCACGCTGGCCAGCTCAACTGAGCCCCAAGAACAATCCATAAATAGCTCAAGAATGACTCTTCATTTACATCCACTCTGGAAGAGCGTCCCTTCAGTGTGTGTGTGTTTGTGTGTGTGCGCGGGCGTGTAAGACCATGTGCCAGTGGCAGCCTAGCTCTCATGTTCAGACAGACAGGACGACACAAAAACCAGTGGACCGAGAAGGCTTTCTTTGGTAGACAAGTAGACTACTGTGGCTCTGATCAGCTAAGCATCACAGAGTGATGACAGTGGCGTCACTCACACCGCACAATGCACCAAACATCAGCAACACACATCTGGATCACAATGACACAAAAGGAACTAGAATTGTCCTGCCCAAAACGCAAATCTATCAATTGCGCGTGTAATAATGCTGTTTTATTTAAGCTTCAGTACAAATTTCTCCTCACAGTCAATGACAAATACATGAACTATTTGGGTCCAAGCGAATGTCGCTCAACCTCGACCCTTGTGTCTAATAATATATAATTCTAGCATTACATAACTAGGCTACTTCCCAAACCTCCCCTGGCAGTGGAAGCACAGCAGCGCTGCTGCGTCCACTGTTATATTTTTCCTCAGCAAAGATCAACGGGTTTCTTTCCAGCATGATTTGTTTATATTTCATGTCTACACATATGTTTTGTGTTATTTGTATGTAGAATTTAGCAGATTGGCTTTTGAAGCATCATAATAATTATTGTAATAAAATTACTATAAAATGATAAATAATAATATTGAAGATGTGCGTACAAACGACAGTTTTGTACTTCAGACCCTGTATGTTGTTATTGTCTTGCTGTAATCATCACTTGAGACTTTTATTAAAACGATATTTCTATTGGTGTTTTGTATTTCTATAGAAAACTTGATGAGTCGGATTAATATGACTTCTAATACATGTCTTCCAATTCAATTATTTTTCAATACGCTTTCTGTGACTCAGGGAACTATGAATATTCTTCTTCTAATAACACTTCCACAGTGTCAGGCTGCAACAATAAACCATAATGACAGTGCTCTTCCCCATCTTTGTTTTGCTTTGACACCAAGTAAACACTACAGAGTTGACTGACATAAAGCACCATAATTCAGTACATTACAGTGGAGACAAGAAGAATGTGCCAATTTAAATCACACAGCCCCTTTGGATTTACAACATTGAATCACAGTGGATGAAATTACAATTTTTGACACTGAACAACAACAAAACTATTATGTATTTTATGTCAAAGTGGTCGAGCATTCCCTGTGATACATTAAACAATAAAACAATGGAAAACATGCGCAGCAGGAGCACAATAATCCTCCATAACACACTGAAAGTCAGTAGAAATGTGTTGACAAATTGTTGCATCACTGACGTTTCACATGCTAAGTAACCCCTTCCTGTGTAAACGGAGAGGAAGCACTCTACAACCAGAGCTATGATAAGAGTAAAGCATAAAACATAAACATGAGAAACAACTTAAATAGAAACAGTCACAAATGAAACTCTCTCATACAGAATAGATGACATAAAACCACGTCTGTCAGTGTTATTAACGCAACATTTGGAGTAACCCCTCCAGCAGCCAGTGGAAACAATCTAAAGAGCCTGTAAACAGTGACTTCCTCTTTCTTCTCACTTTGTTCAATTGCGTATGACAAACATGGCTCACAACAATATTACAGTTAATAAAAAACAGCAATAAATTAAGCAACTAACAGTACAAAGACATGCTTTTTTTTTTATACGTCAAGGGTCAAATGAATCAGGTTTCAGAATTACCGAATAAGTAATTCACACCACACATATCAGCTAACATCTTGGATTACTGAGGCACGCTTACCACCTGGATCACCGCTTTAACACAGGACACAGCTGGGCTAGGTCATTTAAAAAGGAGACGAACCAAGGGCACTACACACGTATACACATAAAAGCTATAACTAGCTTTTCAGTGGAGCAGAAAGAGCTATAGACCCCCGTTAGCTAAACTCTACCCAGCAAGTGCACTTAAGAGCAGAGCTAATAATGCACAGTTTACCTACCACGATCACACTCTTCTCCCATGTCGTGTATAGCACGCGGGAAAAAAGCAAAACAAGTATGACATGTTACTCCACATTTTGTGCAAAGAGTGCAGGGAGATGTCGCTGCTTCTGTCTCCACTGAGAAACTGGCTCCGATAGTTTCCGCTTTCTTTCACAATGACAGGTCAACAAGCCGACCTACCAATCACTATCACAGCAACATTAAATGAGCTGAACGTGATTTATAACAAAAATAACTACCGGTAGTCGACACGGTAGTGTTTCTACTGCACTTTTCTTTTGGTCTCCGTTTCTGGGTTGAGTAAAAGTGGCAGCAGAAAATTGTGATTCTTCTCCTTTTTTTAGGTATAAATTCTATTATATATTCTAAAAATTATTAAGTTACTTCAGTTAACGGTAAAACCAAACAAATGATTTGCATTAGTGAGAATACTGTTCTCCTTTAATCAGCGTTAATTAAAGTTATGTCAGGTTAGTCATTCAGTTGCTGCAGATAATTAAAAAAAAAAAATATATATATATATATAAATAAACCTAAACTAGAAGACCAGTTTATGTAACGTTACGCTAGCTAAAGTAACTAACTACATGCACTACTAGCTAGCTACCTAGCGTAACTTAAGTTTTGTAGATAGCCAACACTATGTCAACATTATTTGAGATATTTTATCCAAATGTCACATAAACTAGCTTAACGTTACCACCAAAAAATAAACAAAAGCATTTTATTGTGAAACCTAACGATAACGTTAAAAAACTATACACACAAAGCGTATTAACGTTGTGTATCTAACGTTAATTACGTTAGTACACCTAACGTAATTTAGAATACCGTTAACGTTGTATTAAATGTGTGATAACTTGAGTGTTCATGTGTTGTTCCAGTTAATAGCCAGGGCCCGTGTAGCGGTAACTAACCAGAACATAGACGTTACCGTGGCTAGCTATAACGTATTCTTCCATGCTAGCGTTAGCTCGCTAGCTATAAGTAGCCGAGTTTACCTTCCGTTGATGTCAACGGGGAGCGTCAAATCGGCTCCCAGGACGGAATCCATGACTGAGGCACACTTATCTCGTGTTCTTTCCAGAATAACAAGACATTTTACAGACTAGATTTAACGTAAAGTTCAAAAAGCGGGACGGAATTCAAAATAATCCAGGCTACCGCCATCACGATAAGGTAAACGTCACCAATGTGGACGCTGGAAACTGGTGATGCCTTCAGGCTGCGTGGGTAATATTTGAAAGTACCACCGAAACCCCACAGAAGACGCCTTAAAAAGATGAATATCACGATGTTAAGTACAAAAACACAGATTATGTGCCATGTTAATTTAAGAACTAGTCCATACACTGTTTATACACGATGCTTTAATGCAAGTTTATTGTTTACGACATACAAATAAAGAATTTACGAGCAGTGAAAAGGCAGCATAAAACAGGGTGGATACTGGGACAAAGCGATTGGCCAAGATGAACACTTAAGGGAGGGACGTAGAGGCTCAAAAATACAGAATTTGCTCCTTCGGTATCCAGTCATGTAGTCATGTTAACATCTCTCTCAACACACTTTTAAGAAAAAGGTCACTCCATTCATTCTTGGCATATAAGCAACATCACGGTCCGACAGGGGTCATGTAATACAAAATAATACCAAAACAGGTATAGAGCATAGACTGTATAGAGTTTGCAGTATTGTTGCTTGTTGCTAATGTGCGATATAAATAAGCAGCATACCGGTAATAACATTGGTTACTCGAGGGGAACATAGATTTTTGTCAAGTGTGCGCCATGCGTCCTTAAAATAAGTACACAAGACTTTTATGAGGGCTTTGGATCATGTTGTGACTGAAACTGAAGCAATAAAAGCTAACTATTTAACAGAGCGTCCTTTCGGTGCATGTGTGTGTGTGTGTGTATGTCTGACATATTCATCAAAGAGTATGTTTAAACATAATTTGTATGTGTGTGGCAAGTGTAATAGTGGGTGTTTTGCATGGTGGGACGGAATAATTAACACTTGCTGCTGTGGGCTAATTATAACATTTAGTAGGAAAAAAGTCTACAGTAATGACTACATTTAAATATTCCATCTATTTAGCTGAGTTTAGGAAAGGCCTGAGAGATCTATAACTTCTTTGGTGTAAACTGGCGTAAACAGCTGGTTCAGCTCCAAATTAAATTTATCCAGAGAACAACAGCGACATCAAGTGGTGTAACTCTTAATTTCAACCGGGCTGGGGCACAGTTTCACGGTTAGCAATTATGGTGTAAAATTGTCATTCTTTTATTGTAAGAATGTGATTTTATCTTATTGACCATCATGGTATATTTGCTTTTCTGCAGATGCACGGTGTTAGTTTTTCATCCACCAAACAGATGTGCCTCAAAGCAGCTGTTGTACTTAATTTATACAAGTTTCAGTCCTTTGTGTTGTACTTTGCACACAACACTCACTCTCTCAACACTGGTGTCCAAGGCAATGGTGTGAAACACCCAAAACTCCCTTTTCTCCAATAACTGGCTCAACTAAAGTAGGATTACCACTTGAGCAATGTGGGGCTCCAGACTCCAAGTGGCCCCAAAAGCCTCCGTTTACTGCGTGTCAGTTGGTTTTGGTGATTTGACTAATTGCAAATTTGTTAGTGGATTTGCACGATAAGTATAAGTACAATATAAGTAGGATTCTGCATTATTTGGGAATTTAAGGCCATTTCATGGAGATGAGCCCTGTGTCAAAATCTAGTTATAAAAGACCATTTGTACTTTTGTTTATTGTATCACATGGTACATATTCTTAATAAAGTTTTAGTCCAGCATAAGAGTACTGGTTGCACCGGACTTAAAGGAAACTTTGCAGACAGAGAGGTAGGTGTAGGGTCATTCGGGGCCAGACCGCACATTTTTGCCCCAGGGCCTCCTAACAGATTACTCTAGGCTCAACACATCCTCACCCCCAACAACGCAATCCTTGACATTTTAACTAAGTATATTGGGACATGAGCTTTCTGTTGGATCTTGATCTATGTTTCTGTTGTGACTGCTTCAATCAACTGGACATGGTGTTTATCTCTCAGCTTGTAGGGAAAGTTACACCGTGTTTGCAGTCACACAATCCAGCAATAATGTTATGTTATAATGTATAAGTTTCAAAATCATTGGCCATCATCACAAGCCTTGTTTATTTAGTACACTATATAAAAGTATTGGCTGTATGTATAGAAACACACTTTTCAGACCCCACACCTTGAGTGAGCAGGACTGCAAAATTATATTAAACATATACAATTGTTGACTGTACTCTTATTTTAATGTATTAGACTTGTAAATATCAAGAGGTAGATCCTTGCATTTCTTTTAATCTGTCTTCAAATATTTGTGCAAGTTATTTAAAACTATTTTTTCCCACCGTGTTTTTCATTTTATGTTTGTGGATATTCAAGCCATTCAGCCATAGTTGAAAATGAATAATCCACACACAAATTGAAAGTATTTATTGAAGTAGACAGATAAAGGATGCCGGCACCAGAAATGGTCTTGTTTGACTGACTGTATTTGGCTGATATTTCCAGACAGGCTTTAATTATAACGGCAACAGAAAATCTTTGCTCCAAGTCATGTGTAAAAATGTGAGGTATTCTTAACTCGTTTTAATGTCTACAACAGATTTACAAAAAGAAGAAACAATGTTCACATATTTGCATAATTATTTAAAACACAAGTTATAGTATAGCACAGAGTCCTGGTACAGTACATGTTTGATTATCATAGAGGAAAAACAACATAAAGCAAATGAACAAAAATTAAAAAAATAAAAGATAATTAACATTGACATAAATTTGTTCTCTGGAGCCCCAAATTTACACATAAAACTCTATAAACTCCAAGACCAGTTGGGCAAACTGATATATAAAGTTGTCAGAAAGAGTAGTATTGCTTCAACCAACAGAACTTGCTCAGTCAGCAACCACTTTAACAACATTAAATAACATTAAATTAGCAAGAGGGGATCGACTGTTTACAGCAAGGTTTGCACAATTATACAGACTTGTGACCAGCTACAACAAAGAAACTGTTATTTAATCAAAACTATCTCCACTAGTTGTGTTTCTAAAAAATATTACATACAGCTGTGGGGGGCTTTGTACAGAGTATATGACAATGTTATTCTTAAAAACTACTTCAGACCCTGTGATTTATACTGGATACAAAAGGAGTAATCTGTTTTTAGTTTTTATAGTTATCTCTAAAATGTTTTTAGTCAGAATAAGCATCTTTGTAAATTGCAGCATTGAACAAAAACGGACTATTAGGGAAACTATGTCATTTTGGATGGGGTATTAGCATTATAGTGCATTATGGAAGCTATGGCAATATATTATATTGACTTTTTTTTATTAATCTAAGCAAGCATGGACTATGAACATCAGAATATTTCAGCAAAGTGGTGTAATTACAGCACTATGGTTAGCACCTTAGATAATTTACTTAGCAACACGCATGAGAGAGAGGATGGGATGGAAGATTCATTTTGATTCATGGACCCACTCTCCTCTCTCCTGTGGCTCAGTTGTCCTCTAAGGAATGCCTGTACCTGTAGTCTGTCTACTGTAAGTGGGGTAGAAGAAGAGACTCCTGGTACCATGTGGTGCCGAGAAAATAATAACTGTTTCCCTCCCACCTCCTATCGTACTTAAGGAAGCATGGAACTGATCCTCCAGAGTTGTAGAGAAATTAATAAAACACTACTGAAAACTAGAGCTCCATATTCTTTTTTTTTAACCTTTACAACTGCAGATTTTCTCCCTAATCATCAGTGGCATCTTGTTCAATAATGTATGAGTAATAAGTATAGGAATAAGTATTTAATGCACTGACGCTCCATGTGGACGGCTTGTGTGCATCAGTGTGTGGAGTTTACACTAGTTTTCCCACATTTGAGATGAGACTAAAAGCCGTGATCTCCCCATTTGGAGCACTAGTAAAT